GCTGCCTCTGCAGGAAAGAACAGTGAGAACGGGATCCAGACTGCAGATGGGGAAACCAGGGCACAGAGCAGGGAAGTAGATGTGTGTGTCAGCCAGGAACTCGGGGATGAGTGCAGAGAGGGGGCCTGCCGCATGGTCTCCTGTGCCAAAGAAGAAGCCGGCCAGGGTGCAACAGCTGGAGAGACCTGTCAAAGCTGCCCCTTCAGAGGGAAAACTCAATGAGGTGGGGGAACCTACCTGTCCTTTCGAACCCAAAAGCACAGGATGGGCTAGGATATACAGGGCCATAGAGACACCTAGAGACCACCAATGCTGGACAGAGCAGGGCAGGCCTCAAGTATGGAGCCTCTGCAGGGAGCCAGCAGGACAGAACCATCACCACTGACTCCAGAGTGCCATGAGGACAGGGAGAACAAAAACATGGTCAAGTTCACAGAATGGTTGTGGGGTCTCATTTATCCTGTCTGCCCATCTTCACCATCCCTCACCAGACTGGCGAAGTCACAGGAATGGGGTCCTCCTAGTAATGCCTGGCCTGGAATGCAGAGCACTTGCTATACCACCATCATGGCAGCACCTGTGAGGTCACTATTACTGTGGAGTCTGAAGAGGAAGGGCGTGGATGGTGGAATCTACACACCAGTTCCAGGGCTGTTCAGCTGCCTCCATATCAGGCACTGATGTGAGCTTCCTGGGATGTTAGCATGTTGGGAGAGAGCTGTAGCACAGTCATGGTCAGGGGCCTGGAGGAGGGACGTTGTGGTAGGTGGGGAAAGATTTTACCAGTGCAACCTCATGGCTCCTAGTTCTTCTCTTTAAAGGAGGGTTTCATACCCATGTTATCCCCCTGGTCCACTAATGTAGATCAACCCACCCGCTGTGGGACAGGTCCCAGGAGGCCCCGTGTCATTGTCTCTACCCTCACATAGCCTGTTGGGCAGATAGGGATGGAAGAATGAAACACAAAAGCATAGATAGAAATGACCTGACGACAACACATCATTTGCTTATTTGGGTTTGGTTTTGCTTTCTCATTAGAATGCCAGTTCCATGAGAGCAGGGGATGTGCCTACCTTATCCACATTTACAGCTCCAGGTACCTGAAGCACACAGCAGCTGTTCAGTCCAAGGGCCCCTATCACATGCTCAAAAATACTGCATAAATATAATTGAAATTACCCTAATAAGGGCAGCACAGCAATCACTAAACAGACCATGGCTTGGGTTCTAGCTAGTTGTGAGTGGCTTGGAAAGAGCCCTGCTTGGCTTTTGGGAGCCTCAGTCTCCTCATCTATAGAATGGGTAAAATCTATACTTTTCACCACCCCTCCCAGGATCAGACAACTGTGCAAAGGAAGACATGCAACCTAAGCACCCATGAAGAATGGCTGTGTCCAACACTTGCTGTGTGAGGCTCCTTGTGCTTGGACACAGCACCCAGTGAGGCCAGGAGAAACAAGAATGGCAGAAAGCCATTTGGTATCGAGGCTGGGACCATGATATCACACCTTCTCATTTTGCACATGTCTGAAGCTTCCAAAAATGGAAGACTATGGGAAGACAACATGTGTTCTGTGCCAAGGACAGGTACACTGAGCATTCTCCTCCACCTTATGCTTCCATTTCTGGAAGATTTAGATGGTTTGCTTGGAGAATGGGCTCTGGCTGTATAGTCTTGATATGGCCATCACCTATTCTAGCCATTTCCCCCTGCAGCTGCTCACTCTCGCGTCCAATATCCTCCTACCGAAGCACCGCATGTCCTCAGCTACTAAACTAATCTGCAGCTTCGGAGCCCCAAATGGATGTGCCAGGAAATCCTGCTGGCACCGAGGACCACGCTGTACGTTTTCCACTTCTGCCTCTGCTGTTCCATTTCTTCCTGGACCAAAAGCTTGGCAAGCCACTCCAGGGAAGACTCATCCTGCCAGGGTTCCAGGAACCCCGAGTGAACAGGAGAACTGAACCAGCCATCGTAACAGATCCCTCTCCAGCATGTGGATGGAAGCTCATTTTGGAAACATCTGCTGTCCTCATCTCCTGGAGGATACACTGATCGATCAAACTATATGAGATCTCCCAGGAGAGCAGGGTGCTGGAAGCCCTGGTCATCAACCTCCCTACTTGTCAAGCGAAGCAAGGAGATGTCTAAAGCATGGTGGAGCTCAGGCTTTGAAGCCTGGGCTGATTGATCCTGGTGGCCATTCGATGCCGACACCTTGCTGAGCCATCATCCCCTCACTGGCCAAGTGTGTTAGATGATCAATCATCAATGGTGCATCCTCCAGGGTAGCTCTGAGACCCACTAGGATCACACACAGTAGCACGGAGCCCAGGATTATGATGACTATTTTTAGCATTTTCTCACAGAATTCAGGATCCTGTCAGAACTCTGGCTTTCACAGTGGAAATGCCCATCCCTGTTTTAAAAGTGTTGGCCTGTATCATAGGAGGCCTGGCATCTCTCTCCTGGGCCTGGCCTGACCTGACTTTGCATCCAGAGACCTGTGCTAAGCTCAGCCAGCCCTCTATCCCACTGCACAGGGAGCCACTCCCAGCTCCCTCCAGCTTTCCAGGGCTGGGAAGCCACAATTCCAGACACTGAGTCCAGAGGGAGACACCTAGAGTCAAGTTGGGTCCAGAGCTCATTGGCACTAACAAGGCAATTAGATCGAAGTGCTGGTTTCCTCTCAACCGGTCCATCCCCCAGGAGAAAGCTTCAGGGGAAAAGAGATCACTGAGTCACAGTGACATTATTTACTCATGGCCCTTGTCTTCTGAGTGCCCACTATGTGCAGCAGCCATGCTAGAATCATTGCTTTACAAAAATCCATTCAGCTTTATATATGAGCAAGTCAAACAGGATGAAACATTGGCTGCAGGATCGCTAACAGGTACCAGGGCATGCAAGTCAAAAAGCATAAAGCAAGTGACTGCATGATAGCTTACAGACACCAGGCATGCTTCAAGCACCATCTGAATTTACATTAATTGACTTATTCCCTGAGAAGGAGCTGTTAATGACATCCCTCCTTCTAGAGGAGAAAAAGGAGACCCAGAGAAGTTCAGCAAATTGTTCAAGTAGGTGGCAGGACCAGGCCTGACTCCCAGGGGGGTCTTGGCACTGTTGTGTGTACATGGTGAGGCTAATAGTCAGTGAGGCTGCAGAAGCAGATCTGAGAGCTAACACGCAATGCACACAGTCGCCAAACAAAGAAGTAATAAGTAGCCTCAGAGAGGAACAGATAAAATCATGGGAGAGGGCAGAGGAGTTAGCCCCTTGGAGCGGAAGTCGGGTACAGCAGGCCTGGAAGGATGAGGATTCTGGCAAGGGGAGGCGAGGAAGTACAGGAAAGGTCATTTCTGATGGAACAGCGGGAGCAAACAGAGAGAGATAAGAGGCTAGCTGGGGGCATGGATTTGTCCAGGAGCCAAACTGGGTTAGGTTGTATGTTAACAGACACTGCACAAATCAAAAGCCTCCCGTTCATGTGATGGGACCGCACTGAAACAGCTCGGTGGTCTCCCCGTGGTCTCAGGCTTCAATCTGCAGTGAAGAAGCCCATCACACAGCATATGGACATGTGTGCCTGTTGGAAAACATGTAGGAACTGAGGTCTGGCGGGGGATACCCAGACCATGATTCTACTTTTTCCCCCCCAAGAAATTTGGTTCAAGGGATCACCACTTTTGATCTGGGAAGTGATATGATGACACGGTCAGTGCTGTCCCCGCAGCCAGGAGTCTGAGTAGGTAAGGAGGGTCCTCTTCCATCAGCCCATGGTGACAAATAAGAAATAACCTGTCACACGCAGGCACTGCAAGCAGGGAGGTGGTGCATGTGGGATCCACTCAGCACTTTTAGACTCCCTTCCTTTCGCCCACTGTTCTCCATCTGTTGCAAAGGGCAAGGCGCAGGGAGGAACATTCCAGTGCTGGGGAATCCAGCGCTCACCAGCCCAGATGGGGCCTCTTGTTCGAGCCTCATCACTCCCCATGTATTGACATCTGTGAAGTCAAGAGGCTGCCAGTTCCACACTCAGTGGGCTTCAGAGAGACTCAATCAAAAGCTTTTGCTCACAGGAGCCTTCCCATAATCCTCCAGCGAGGCCTCAGGTGGCTCTTCTTACCCTATCAGTATGGACTGCACACTCCTAAGTCATTTATTCCTCCCACCAGAAGCTGTACTCAGAATTCTGGCTCCTTTACCACTTACTCCTGGGACAAGCTTTGGACTCAGTTTTCCTCATCTGTACATCATTGGTAAGAAGAGCCAAATGGCACACCGCTGGTAAATGGAATTGTGCAGACGAAGCACCAGGCCTGGGATGCAGTTAGCTACTTAATAAACATGGGTTCTCCTCCCTCCCCTTCTCAACGGACAGTTCCAATCAGGACTTCTTATGGACTGAGTGATTGCAAGCAAAAAGAAAGAAAGAAAAAAGAAAAAAATCAGTCCATGTATCCCCATGGGATGCGGGCAGGTATAATTAATAGCACAAAGCACCCAGTGAACACGGAGCCTTCAAGGAACCTTCCAAAACCCTCTGCATGTCAAACATCTTAGCTAGCCTCCCCTCCCCCCCTTTTTTCCTATGAAAGAGGAAGTGAGAACGGCTATAGGGCTTAGGAAAGCACAGAGGAGCTATCAGCGAGATATCTCTCTACCCGAGGGCCTCGGGTTCACTGGAGGGGGCCACTGCTCCTCAGAGCTGGGACCTCAGTTTCCCTCAGCCACCTCCTACTAGAGCAAAGGAGTCCATTCAAGTGCTCAGGGCCAGCCAGGGCCAGATGAGCATCCTGTAGTTGACTGTGAGGCTTGTCTGCTTCTTGATCAGAATAGCAGGGCTGGCCCCTACACAGTGCAAGAACCCACAGTGGTGACTTCACCGGAGTCTTTTTAGAATTTTCCTTTGGCATAATCTGTGTCAAGTGCAATCTTTAGAAACTTCCTCTCCTGCCTCCCGGAGGCAATAATTCACATGACCAGCTCCCTTCACCCAAGCAGTGATCTTGTGAAGCCCGGCAATCATGTGACACCTCCCAGGATGACAGTTCTGCCAGAGACAGCAGTCATTCCACCCAAAGCTGTCTTTTCTGAGCTGACATTTGGGATTCTTGCTCAAACAAATCCATTTTCCTAGAAGACTGGACAACTGCCTTCTACCTGCCTATCCGTGTATCCTACCTCCTCTTCTCTGCTGTAAACCCCACACCTCCAATAAGAGAGGCTGAGTCCAGCGGGGGCTGAAGTCCCCTCCCTTAGAAAGGACGTGACTGTGATCCTGAGCCCCCCTGGACTAAGAGTGCAGGCTGCTGGGAGGCTGCAGCTCAATGGCCATACACCATCCCTTCCTCACCGAGAATCTCATTCTCACCTCCGGAGACTTACACTATGAAGTTAACCTATGTCCCGCCACTGTTCCCACCTTTTCAGGCTGCTGATGCTGAGTGGATTGGAGCGGAAGGTCCATCTTGGCTATTCCACAGATTGTTTTTATAGGTGAGCGTGGGGAAGGGGAGGTTAGACACACTCTTAAGAAAGGTGCTGTCATTCTTCCCCGCCAGTGCCCAGGAAGGACAGGCTACTGGGTTGAACACTTGTTAATCACTAACCCTTTGCCAGGGACTGAACCATAAGGGCCTGGTCAGAAAGAGGTCTAGAGCAAGCGTTTAGACTTTAATCCGGGCTCAGCTTACTGTACTTCGGAGAGATGCCTGTGGGTTCCCAAGCCCCAGAGGATGGCAGGGCACGGCTGGAACTTTGGCAAGGCAGGAAGAAGCAGATCAGACCCCAGAGCCACTCATAGGAGAGAGGTGAAATCCATCAGTTGGCCCTGAAAGGACCCAGGGTGACTGAAAACTATGGGTGGGGAGGGGCACTTGGTGGGTTCCTGGGGATCAGGGGAAACTCCAGGGCAGTAGAGAGAGCTCCTGGCTGCCCCACCTCTTCCAGCTTGCCTGTTCTCTCTTCCCTGGGGCCGGCTCTCCCCCATCTTCTACACAGCTATCAGATCAGATGCTCTAGGCAAATGCACGCTGAGAGCATCTTACCTCCCTGCAAAGGCAAGGTGGCACAGCGATGCCTATGTCCATAACACCGATCCAAGAAGACACTAAATAAGGCCCCCTTCTCTCCCTCCCCAGCTATGCCGCACGCCTTCCTATCCTTTCAGGAGAGACCCAGGATTTTTTGCACAACCCCTTTAAGATGCAGGACTCCTGAACGGTGACCTCACTCCTTGGCCAACCGGCCCTCAGAGCCCTCCTGCGGGAGACAGCCAGGTGTTTGATGTAGACCAACAAAGAAGACAAGCTCAGAGCCACAGGTACATGCGGGAACTGCAGGAGCTCCTGGAAAGCTGCCTCAGGAGGGCAGGAGGGTAGCGGGAGGCAATCATCCAGGGAGAGGCTGTGCCACCACAGGTACATCCACCGTGTCTCCCAAGGGACTGTTGATTACCCAGGCCTCTCTTCCTCTCTCCCACACCTCCATACACTAACCGTGCTTGCTCTGGTACTAGAGGGAGAGCTCACTCTTCCCTCATCCCGACAACCCAGCAGCGCGGGAGGACCTCTGCCTCCCCCCCCCCACACACACACCCCAATCAAGTCTAGCAAGGGAGCTTTTGGGGAAGCCAGGCGCTCTACTGCCGATAGCAATTGCCAGCCTGCCTCCTCATTCGGTTTGGGCAAGGGGTACAGTAAACCAACTCATTCCTATGCCTTGCCGCTCAGTGCAGGGCTACACAGTCACAGTCCACAGGGCAGATCCGCATAAGGAGAGTTCTAGCCTGGCTTCTAGCCTGGGCTATGTGACCTTGGGCAAGTGGCTGACCCTCTCTGGGCCTCAATTCTGCATCTGGAACCCTGGTTACAGGCATCTGTCGACACGAGCTGAGCGGCAGTGTGCGGGGCCTGAGCCCACAGCTTGGGGAGGGTGGCAGTGAGAGCTGAGGGTGCTTACCTGACCGGAAACAGGACGCGGAGAACAGTAGGCAGAGCAGCAGCGGCCCTAGGCGGCCAGCGGCCGGGCCGGCGGGCTCCATGGGCCACGGCTGCAGAGCAAGGAGGGAGAGCGGCGGTGAGCGCGCTCGGCAGGCGGGCGGGCGGCGCGGGCGAACGACTAAGGCCCCTCCCCCTCCGCTGCCCCCCAGCGCCACCGCCCGGCGGGGTGATCTGACCCCCTCCTACAACGAGACGCCGAGCGGGGAGACTCCGGGAGCGTGACGCCGGGCCAGGCCGGCGGGAAAGGGGAGCGGACCCGAGGGAGCCAGGCGCTGAGCCAGAGGCTCGGGGGCGGGGGAGCGGATAGCGAGGGAGAGGGAGAGTGGGGGAGAGGAGGAGGGAGAGGGAGCGGGGACGGAGCACGAAGAGCGAGCGCGAGCAGGGATAGCTCGCAGAGCGAGTGCGGGCTGCGCTGAGCCGTCGCGAGGCCAGCGCGAGGGCGGCCCGGCCGAGCGCCCCCGCCCCGCGCCCGCACCTTCCCGCCTGCGCCCCAGTGCGCCCCGCGAGCTGCGCCGCCCGCCTCGCCTCTGCGCGAGCCCGCTCTGCCCGTGCGGGTCCCCGCCAGCCGCTCGGACCTGCGCCGCGGCGCGCAGGGCTGCCAGGCGGTGGAAGCACCGCTCCCGCTGCCCAGAGGCTGGCCGCGCAGCACTTTGCGCAAACTTGTTTTTCTGAGGTCGGCGCCGCGGGCTGGCTACTCCGTCCTCTTAAGGTGGACTGGGGAAGTGGCAGCCGATCGCCACTGGCCTCGGCCTCTCACCCTGGCCAGTCCTCGCCTCCAGTGGGCAAGAGGCTGCCCGCCCGCGGCGTGCTGGCCTAGGGTAGAGAATGGAGGAGGCGGGGAGGCTTGCTTTCTGCCCCTCCCAAAGAGGCCCTGTTCATGTGTCCCAAAGCAGAAGGTCGGCCTCCGGGTGGGTATGGGTCCTAGGGGCCCAAATCTTTCCAAGCTGGCCCGAGGTGAAGCAAAAGCAGGAAGTGAATGCAGGGGGAAGGGGGAGAGGAAGGAGAGAGTGATGATACAAAAATAGCGTGTGTGTAGGAAGGACTTCGGTGCCTCTTGGTAAAGACGCGCTGGGGGAGAGGAGTAGCAAGAAAACTGTGGCAGGGAAAGGGGAAGGGTAGGTTGGGCCTTAGGGAGGAGACTGACCAGAGGCCTTTTCATCAGGCAGAGTAGATTGAGGTTGGAGAGGGCACAGACAGAACTGTGCTGGGAGAGGCCTGGGCTGCAAAATAGTGACCCTAATGAGCAAGACCGAGAAAGGAGAGCTAATCCCTCAGGACAGAGCCTCTGGATGCAAAATGCACCCTAGCTCCAGTGTTTCCTTGAGGAATGAACTAGAAGCACTCAGATCAAGTGCTTGATCATCTGCAGAAGTCTGCGCACCAAGACAGGGAAGAGGAATCAAGACCCTCCACTAATTGGAGAGTTTGAGCTGAAGTAAGTTCAGAGATAGCCAATTTTGCTTCCCGTGATGGCAGTTGAGGGACATAATGAAGGAATGAAGCAAAGCAGGCCCTGCTGTCTGTCTCTTAAAGAGGATGTTGAGGCTCAGAGACCAGGAGGATGATTGCCTAAGGCCAGGCCTCCGGTAGAAAGTCCCTTATGCAATGGCACCCTCTGTCCTCTGCACCTCTGGCCAAGAGCCTTGTTCTGGTTTTTTGTTTTTGTTTTTGTTTTTTATTCCAGAGAGGCAAGTAGGGTGCAGCTGTTAGGCATAGGGACCAGCGTCCAAGGCTTAGATCCTTTCTTCCCATCTTAGAAGCTGCAGACTTGGAGAAAGACCTTGTTTCTGTGCCCTGGCTTCCCTTTAAGCAGCCAGGCCAACATGAGCAGCGACCCAGAACTGCCATTGGGAGGGTTACATGAGTTGATATTTGCACTGCATTTTAAGAAGAGCTCACCATGTACCAAGGGCAAGAACAGTGTTTGAAAAGTGTTTGGCAGCAGGTCCTTGAGGGACCACAGGGCAGCCCTAGCAGAAATATTGGTTGTATTTCTTTGGGCCTAGGGGATTATAACAAGAACCCACCCATAGTCTACTAGAAGATGCAGGTATGTGCAAGCCGAAAGAATGAACAGAGACGGTCTGGTAAGGAGTGTAGGTGCGCACACACACATGGGTGTTAGCTCATTTAGCTAAGGACAGCAGTGCATAAAGCCATGTTTCTAGAGAGTAGTCTGGAAGACCAAGAAAATTGATTCTGTGGATGAGAACCACTGTAGGTAGGATCAAGTAGAAACTACCATGTTTGATTTACATAGAATAGAGAGGGCTGGATGGAGAAGAGTGTGGAGTCAGGGGGCTAGGCGAGAAAGATAACCTGGGTCTAGCATCCGAGGCAGGCTAGTTCTTTAGATTATGTCTGGCAGATCCACGAAGGTGTCCAGTGAAGCCTTGTGAAAATTCTCCAAAATCTGCCTGGGGTAGGAGAGGGCAGAACCTACTGCTGGTGTCAGAGGTGGTGCCTCCTCCTGGTTCTGGGGCAGGCACACACTCCTAGACACAGAGCTGCCTGGGATTAGCCACTGTGGGATTAGGAAGAATAAGCATTGTACCACCTGCTACTTATATATTTAGCATCTTTGCAGAGGCACTCAGCAGAGCTTCCACACGCTCACATCCATGCGTGGGGGAGTTGACATTTGTCCACATAAAAGTCACTTGTGCTAACCCATCAGTTACTGTGAGTCCACTGGGATTTGTGCGCAAATGTGTAAACTAAATGGACAAGGTGCAGCCTGCCCAGGGTCACACAGATTATGATAGATAATTGATGTGAGCCAGCCATCATAGCAGCCGGTCTGGGGGCTTTAATTCGGATATTATTTGTCCATGCACTTACCATATGCATTAAGTGTCTACTATGTGCTTGACAGAGCACTGGGTGATAGAGATGTGGCAGCTGAGAGGAACAAACCAGGCAGATCTGTGCTCAAGGAGGGCACGGGTTAACCCGTAATGCGTCACATATCAGATGGGCGTCAGTACTCCAGGGAGTAGTACATAGAGAAGGACCAAGGGTACCCACGAAGAGAAGTGGTGCATTTCCGAAAGACAAGATGGGGAGTATGCGTGTCCTCTCACCGGCGCCCATCCCTTCCCTCTCTCCTGTCCGTTCCAAGGAATCCTCTTATACGAGGTTGTACTATAAAGATTTAATTACATTTCTCTCTCTCTCTCTCTCTCTCTCTCTCTCTCTCTCTCTCTCTCTGTCTCTCTCTCTGGCTTGTCTCTCTCTTTCTGTGTGTGTGTGTGTGTGTGTGTGTGTGTGTGTGTGTGTGTGTGTGTTGCAGGGTTGGGGGAGTTCTAGAGAGGAGACTTGAATGAGCAGGAGGAGGGGAAGAATCTGGGGACTTCAAAGCTAAAACACAAGTGATTTGACTTAAGCAACCAGGGTTTTTTTTTTTGAGCCTCAGTCTATGAAAAAGGACTAACAAAGACAACTTTAATGTGAGTGGCTACTAGTGGCTAGGATGTGAATGCGATCTCAGGAGGTTTTGGCCTCTGTAAGAGTGACAAGTGCCAGGTCCTAAGATCCATGTTCTTTCCTTGAGGCCCCAACCACCCCTTTGTGTTTCTAGATGAAAGGAGCAAGGCCAGACAGACACTGACTTGACCAGGGCCATTCTGTCAGGCACGCTGGGGCTTGCAGAGACTCAGAGCTGTTCACCCAGCCTTGCCCACGCTTGCTCTTGGTTCCCATAGCCCTGGGCTGGCATCAGCAGGCCAGGCCTGGCTGCCTTTGGGTGGGACCTGTTAGGAGGATCGAGCTGCCAACGACCTATTTTTTCAGGGCAAGAGGAGCCGTTTAGAGTTAGAGGCCTCAACTCTGAAGCCAGAACAATTAAAAATAAGTATCATACACCTCTGGGCAGCTTGGAGCATGGGCCAGCTGTGCTGGAGAGAAGCTGCTGAGCTGAACGGGCTGGGAGCCGGGACTGAGGTGATGGATTAGTTCCCATGTGCTTTCTGACCCTCAGGTGGGAGAGGCTGCTGACATGCCCATTTTGTAGCTGTAGAAATGGAGGTTCAGAGAGGTGTCCTGACTAACCTAGGACACACAGCTGTTAGGTACTCTCAATAATGATGATGATAATAATAATAATAATTGTTTAGCATCTACTATGCTTTGCAGTCTTGTTCTTGTGATATAGTCATGCCACACCTGGTAGAGGTGCTGGTAACTGCTTCATTTTACAGCAGAGAAAGGCAAAAGTTGAAACCACCCTTCTTCCAGGCCTCTCGAAGCGTGGTCTTGCCAGAAACCCCTGTTGGTCAGGCCACTCCTCCCCCAATCCCCCCTATCCTCAGCCCCATTTATT